CACATTGTCTGATTTGGAAAGAAATTTTTTGCAAATTATGGTGGAAAATAAGTATTTGGTCAATATCAAAAGTTCATCTCAACCCGGATCCTATAAATCAATTGTTCTGTGAAACATCTGTGAAAAAAATTCAGGTGCTCAGGAAATGTGCTGCTCAAATACTATACTTTTCCGCACACACTGAAAAAAAATTAGAGGGAACATTGATTGCAGATACATTTGAGAAAATGTCAGGTCTACTTCCAGCTCTGAGAGCCCAATCAGGGAATAGTTTCGCTTCAGGCTTATCTAACCACAGCAGCAACCATTGTAATTTCCAAAAATGCTCCCAGTATAAAGGTGCTACAAGGATTTGTGGAAAATAAGAATCCATTGTTATGGCTACAGTACCAATAACAGGCAGATGCTGGTTTGGCCATTCCTGATTCTTTGTTTTTTGTATCTATTCCTCTTTTTTGCAAGAAAACAATAAAACAGCATAAACCAATAGTCACAGCACTGCTGTCAATCTTAGCAGGCTGAGGAAAGAAAATGCTCACAGCTGTTACTTCCACGTTTTTCTCTGAGTGGTGAAATGCAGCAGAGATTTTGCTGATGGTTAAGTTACAAACTGGGTTCTAATTTTAAAAACCAAAAATCTTAGTTTGAATGCATGTTGTTTCATAAATTATTGAAACTTCTGACACAGATTAAAACCCAGTTATCAAATAAAATATATAAGCAAGGATAGCAGTAACATATAATGTGCACAGCAGGTAGTTAATTAATGTGAAGTACAACAGTATTAAGTTTATACTTTAGATATTTACATCTCCATCCCCAAACTAAATGTGTAATTTGTAACTAAACTTTATCCATATATTGAAATGAATAAAGCATATGGCATACTTTCAGAAATTGAAATATTTTGATGACTTTAAAATATTCAAAACCAAACTTAAATTCTACGCAAACATCCAAAAACAGTTTATCTGGTTTGCATTATTTATTTCCATGGCAATAAACAATGTTCCATCAAAAGCAAAATGAACTTCTTTAAATTAAACTTGATAATAAACACTTCTGCATTTTTCATAGTGGCAATCAATACATTTATTTTACCTCACTACATTTTCACTTCAGTATACTCTATATACAAATATTGTTTCTGATTTTTGAAAACCTTTGTATGTCTGTCTTTCTTTTTTAGATGACCATAATGACTGGGAATGTGATCTGAATACCAAACTTATAATGGAAACCTTTTTAGAACAGTGTTTCTCAACCTCATCAACTTTTAAGTGGATTCTAATGTCCATAATTGGGGACATTAGCCAGCATGCTGGGAGTTGAAATCCACACACCTCAAAGCTGCTAAGGTTGACAAACATTGATTCAGAGATAAATTTAATCTGAGTAATATTGAATGACTTCTCCAGTTATTTTATGACAAGAAGCTGCTTCATTCACTATTTCTATGCTGGAATTTACTCAGGTTTAACAAGAAACATGTTAAATTTCATTATGACAAGGATCATAGCAAATACTTGCTTTTGGAAAATAATATCAGAATTAGCAAAAGAACCATAAAACCTTCCCAAAAGGTGTACTAATATTACAGTATTTAAAGATATATAAAATAGCTATGTGATAATATACTGCAATGAATTTACTTCTGTTAATTTAAAAATATACATTTTTTTAATTGCATAGACCATACAACAGGTAGATGATTAAATTACAAATCTCATCTCTTGGTCCTTCTTTTCAGGAACCAATATAATGTCTGTTTCAGGATAAATATTACCACCTCCTGCACACAGCAAAATCATATTTGGGAGGGGGAGGGGGAGGGGAGGGGGAACCTAAATTAACTCATGGCAAGTAGCCACTGCAATATCACTTTAATGAAACATAGCTTAATATGCAGGAGGGGGTATTAAAGTGATGAAAGAAAATAAGCTTCCGAAGTCCAGTGTTGATAAATTTATTCAATGAAACTCTCAAATATTTTGCTATGAAAACTAGGCAATGTCAGGACTAACTAAAGCATTCCTCCAACCCCAGGGCCATAAATGCAGATATTTTTCTAGGTCTAGTCCTCAAATCACATATAAAGTCATGTATCCTAGCAGGTTCATCAATGCCAAACCAAATTTAGCTCATTGGTTTCCACTCAATAAGCAGACAAATAAACAAGAAGTACAAATGCTAAGTTTACAACAATTCTCTATATAACTTAGAATAAAGTTTCGTGTCACAAAAATAAAAATGCATCTCTTTCAGAGGCTCAGAACTCTTTTATAAAAATGTAATGGTAACTCTGATGTTGCATGGAAATGATTCTAATTATTTTGAAAATATAATGGCTTCAGGTAAAGGTACATTAACAAAATTTGATGTTAAGTTTACATTTTTTAAAGAAATCAGATCAAATGGATTTATTAAATAAAACCATTATTGCTATTTACCATGAAGATATTATTTTAAAAATAGAATCCTGATCAAAAACACAGGCCTGATAACCTTAGGAACTAGACAGATTAGAAATTATTAATTTGCGTTTATCTTTTTTTAAAGATAAAGTTTGGCAAAAATGCCACAAGTGATTCAAGACTATGAAAACAGTATATATGTTCTTTTAAAAAAAACCTTTTTTTCTACATCCGATGTTTTCTTTTCTAAATGACCCAAAAAGGTGGTTTAGAAACTGAGTGCTGAATACTGAAACAACTTCTGTCATCTATGGATAGGGAATTGGTATCTTTTTCTTCAAAGGCTGTTAGCAAGCCAAATCAAAGATGAGAATTGCTGAAAAAAGAAAAAAGAGAAATAGAGGGTAAGCTGCAGAAAACTTTGTTAACTGCAATACAATTGCCAATTGCCAAGAAATATAAAAATATCACTGGAAAATATAGGAATGTCTCTATCCATTTAATTTCTACTAGGACATTTTCTGCCCATACCGTAGGCTAACGTAGGTATGTTAGGAAAAAAAAAACAGGTCTGTGTAAGATATAATCCTGTCATACAACTTCTTTAGCAGTAATTATCGTAATCTTTCTGTTATTGTTTTTTTAATATTATTAACATAAGATTTTCTAAAAGATACATAATCTGAAGCCATCTCATCAAATAATTTGTTTTTAGCAAAAAAAAAAAAATCATTTACACAATGGCCACACACAAAAATATTTTCAGACAGGTTTACAATTCAATGCAAATTTGAACTAAGCATAGAACAGTAGCTATTTGTGCAAATGTATTTATTTATANGTTAGGGCTGCAAGGGTCTTGTAACTTGACAGCTTTAAGACTTGTGTGCTTCAAATGCCAGAGTTTCTGAGCCAACATTTTGGTTGCTAAGCAAGAGCATTGTTAAGTGAGTTTCACCACATTTTACAAGTTGGCCATGCTCACCCAGTCACATGACTGCCAAGCCACTCCCATTCATTCACATGGCTGGCAAGCCACTCCCATCTGGTCACATGGCTGGAAAGCCACTCTCACAAAGCAGGCCACACTTACAGAAGAGGTTCTAAAAATGTTTGAAACCCACCACTGCCCCATAGGAGCCTGGGGTGGGCAAAAACAGCCTCTCCCCGCCCCCCTGGAAGCCCTCCGGAGGCTTCAGGGACCTTCAGGAGGCTTCCCTGAAGCCTTCGGAGCAGTCAAAACAACCCTGCGAGCAAACCAGAAGTCACTTCCGATTTGCTCGGAGGGTCTTTTTGAGTGCTCCGAAGGATTCAGGGACCTTCAGGAGGCTTCCCTGAAGCCTCCAGAGCAGGTAAAATGATCCTCCGAGCAAACCGGAAGTCCGTTCCGGAAGTTCCGGTTTGCCTGTAAGGCCGATTTTTTGCGTTCAGGAGGCTTCAGGGAAGCTCATGAAGCCTCCGGAGGGCCTCCGGGAGGCGGGGGAGGCTCTTTTCGCCCTCCCCAGGCTCCTATAAAGCCTCTGGAGCCTAGGAAGGGCGAAAAATGGCTTTAAAAAAGGGTGAACTCAGCTGGCCAGCACGCGCATGCACGCTGGCCAGCTGACAGGGCAGCGCCTCGCGTGCCCTGACAAACGGCTCCACGTGCCACCTGTGGCACGCGTACCATAGGTTCGCCATCACTGGCCTACAGAGTCTCCCCGTTCTCCCCCTTCCCCTTACTTACGTTATCCCACTTTTTCATTTCATTTCCATAAAAGTGGAATAATGTAAGTTGGATTTTTTCCTGTTCGGCAAATTAGATTGTCAGTAATGACATTACAATATACATTTTTAGAAACATCACAACGGAATGGGGGAAAGATAGGCAGATTTATTTTTTATTTGTTTGTTTGCATATCCAACTCCATCATGAACAATGACTTGTTGTTATATGGTGCTCTGAGAAATTTGGTCATATATTGTTTTACATTCTCCAGAAATGAATTATCAAAACCATCTAGGAAGGCCTAATAAAAATAAGTTTAGTGCCAACTAAGTGTCCATCACTGCTATTTTCAGCTGGCTTCTTTTTGTCTCTTAGATATTCTATTGATTATCTTATAAAATTTACTGCAGAGATTAGTACATTTAAAACCATGACTTTCAAATTGATGCCTTAATAAATTGTCAGAATTACAATAGCTCTCCAAAATGTAAACAAGAAATGGGTATCAGATAAGCTGCTGTCTTTACAGGGCTAGTTATGTTTGTCTATTCAAACATTTGTAGGATTAAGCAATCCTACAAAATCAGTATAAGGCTGGTGTAGAGCCTGGATGTTTTAAAAACATAGTCCTTTTGAAGTTCACCCAGGGAGAATGGGGCCAAAAATGCATCCTGTTTTATTTTTGTTCTTCAAAGAAGTTTGGAGTTAAATGTATGTGTAAAGCTTTTCTGAAACTAAAGTTGAAAAATTCAAAAAGCCTTCAGCATGCTTCCAAAACTAATGTAATTCTGGACCTCATGGAAGTTTGCTTTGCTGGTGTAGAACCTCAATTCATAGCTTTATGTTCTCCAGAGGTTTTCCCCTACAACTCAACTAAGTTGCTGTATTTAGAGGTCTCTGGATTTATAATCTAAAATATATGATAGTACAGGTTGCCTAACATTCCTTCAGAACTACCAAATTGTCCATTGGACAAGAAAAACATGCTTTGAAATTAGAAACACGTTGTCTCTAGTAGTTGCTAAGGTATAGATAGTATTCAGATCTTTGGTCTGATTCAGACCAAATTCGGGCTCATCTTATTATATTTTTAATAAACCTTTCCAAAAAAAACTTCAGAGGAATCCGATCTAATTATGGCTTATAAAACAAGATCTAAACAACTGAACATACATGCTATTAAATGTTTCTAAACTATATGTCCCAATTAAAAACAAGCAAATAAATGACGTACTATAAATACTTGACCACAAGATTAAATTGATAAGTGCATTGTTGTCTCACTTCAGCCATCTGGAATACAAGTTTTATTTGGGCCATGTGGTTAGGTTTTCTATGGATTCCACATTACTGTATTGAGTAGATTGGTCAACAACTGGAAAGTAATTGGATGAGAAGACTTACTCAATTCAAAATAATGATCACAATTCGTATTGAATAAGTCCTTTGAGTATAATGGCTGTTCAATTGTCTAACTAAACTTTACAATCTCCTTTTCTAGATTTGTGATTTTTCAGATACTGTACATGCAAGGATACATGTTCCATGCAACCACGAATACAAACATTTTAACCCTTCCCTTCCTAAACAATTTCCCTAAAGTACTACAGAAGTGGCAATCAGCAACATAATACTAAAACAGAACATAATTTTATAAAATTGTGCCTGTGTAAGCTTTGGCCTTATGTGTTCCCTCTCTCTAACAGGACTATGAGATAGAGGCTCCTTCTTCCATGTTCAATTAACCATCTTTAAGTATCTGAAACATGAAGTGTGTTACACTTAAATGTGAATGGCTAAAACAAACTTGTAGCTGTTAAATTCACATTTCCCCCCAGCCCTGATTTCTGTCCATTTCAGCAAAACTACAGGACTTACAACAGTTTATTTAGTGACTATTCAGTTATGTCACTGATAAAAGTGTTATGACTGTTTTTCACACTTACAACCATCGCAGTATCCCCATGGTCACATGGTCTAAATTCAGATGCTTGGCAACTGACTTTTATTTATGACGGTTGCAGTGTTGTAGGGTCATGTGATCACCTTTTGCGACCTTCTGACAAGCAAAGCCAGATTCACTTAACAGCGTTATTCATTTACGTGATTCACATGTGATTCACTTAACAACTGTGGCAGGAAAAGTTGTAAAATAGGGTAAAACTCACTTAAATGTTTCACTTAGCAACCAAAATTCTGAACTCAATTGTGGTCATAAATTGAGGAATATCTATACTTACCCTTTGCTATTTCAATTTTTGCACAAATTTGGGCATTTCTTTCTGCAGGTATTATCTACTTTTTTGCAGGTATTATGTACTTGCTAGAACATATACTTCATGGTTACACCCATTTTCTATTTCCTATGCCTGTCATTTTTAAATCTTAGTGCAATCAAAATTTCCCTATTTATCCATAACATTTTCCAAAGTGCTCATTTTTTTCTTCTCGTCAAAATGGTATAGAACTGCAGTTATTCTCACCCTCCTG